GGTCAGCACAGGGACTCGAGGCTGCGGTCTGTGTCCTGATTCTCTGCCTTCCATTTTCTAACCCTGTGGGTGTGATCCCGCCTTGGTCACTGGGAGAGGTGGCCATCCAGTGGATTCTGGCTCAGAGAGACTCTTCAGAGTCGAGCAAACTGTCTGGTCCTGTGTCATCCTCAAGTCATGGCTGTGCTGAGCCGTTCCGTCAGCCAGGCTCCTTGAGATCTCCCTCCGTGTGTTCTGGTCTTCTGCACCACCGTGCATGGTGTCCTTCGCTGAGACTGGCCCCTCCAGGTAACAAGCCCAAAGCGTGAGAGGCAGGCTCGCAGCCTCGCTTGGAAGGAGTGTTCTGGATGCATGGCCTCCAGGACAGATTTGATCATTTTCCTGGCAGCCTACAGTATATCCCATATTCCTCGTCAATAACACTGTTAAAAGACATCAGTTCTTCTTTGATCTTTCTTACTCATTACCCAACGTTCACATGTCTGTGGAGCAGTGGAAAATGCCATGGCTTGCTTTTGCTGCACCTTACTCTTTGAAGTGACATCTTTGCTCTCAGTCAGTTTAAAGACATTGTTGGCAGCAGATTTGCCCAGTTAAATTCGCCATTTGATTTCTTCACTGCCACTTCCATGGAGTTGACTGTGGACCCAAGTAAGATGAAATCCATCATGGCTCCCTGAATACCACCTGGAAATCACTATGGGAGGAGACAGCCCATCTTTATTCCACAGAGCAGCTGGTGGATTTGAACTGCTAGACTTTTGGTTAGTTCTGATATAGTATAGACTCAAGCGTCTGCTAGGAGTCACTGTGAGTTGGAACTGACCCCAAGCAGTGGGTTTGGCGCGATTTTCAGAAAGTGCAGCAGCGGCCAGAGAAACCAAATCACGTAAAAAAAAAGAGGCATCAAGAAAACCCGCCACGCAGAGACCTCGTGGCAGTGCACTGCTGTATACCTGTCCCCACCATGCAGAGACCTGGTGGTGTGCACTGCTGTTCCCACCATGCAGAGACCTGGTGGCAAGTGCTGCTTTATTCCTCTCAAATGCATTACTAAATGGGGAGTGGGTTTGACAGCTTTAGTTTTGACTGAGGGAGCTCTGGTGGTGCTGTGTTTAATGCGTTCAGTTGTTTACCACGAAGCCTGCAGGTTGGACCCACCAGCTACATGGGCGTGCGTTGTGGCAGCCTCCCAGGCTGGGAACTGCCAGCAGTTCTTGGCTCCTTGGGGCCACTACATTGGAATTGACTTGACAGTTGTGAATTTGAAGGGTTGTGGTATTTTTATTTTTTAACATAAAGGGAGCACAGGTAGCCTCATGTATAGGGAGTTGTCCTGCCAACTCAAAGGCAGTTAGTTCAAATTCACCAGCTGCTCTACAAGAGAAGGATGGCCAGTCCCCTGCCATGTGACGTGTAGTCTCTGAAAACCCGCTGTGTGTTGGTCCCAACTTGACAGCCCTGAATTTGGGTTCCTAGGTTTTCTTTAACAGAGGTGTGATCATAGTTTTTAGAGGCATTGTAGGAATTTAGGGTGGCTGGCTTCTGGATGTCATGGGGCTGCTTTGGCAATTTGAAAACAGGGTTGTGATGTGGCTGTGATGTCAGGGAGCTTCCCTGGGGGTGGGGGGCATGGACTGCCACCCAGGCCGGTTGCATTGGTGTAAAGTTGATTTTAGAGTTTTTCACCAGGCAGGACTGCACTCCCAGCGAGGCTGATCCTGTGAAAATGAACACTCTTCATATTCCAGGGCCCTCACTTGGAGAGCACTTAAAAATAACTTGTAGAAAAAAAGGGGGGGGGAAGATTTATGCCAAGCCTCAACATGGAGAAATGTGTGTGCATAAAATTATAATGCAACTGTTAGCCCAGCCTTAATTATAGCTGCTACCAAGCGTTCCTCATTTTATTTTGTTAATCCACTTCGGCAGAGAGACACCCACAGGATTTCTTCCTAGCCTTTAATAAAAATGTTAACTTCTCGAGCCATGGGAGGTAGTGTGCCCATCAGCGATTATGAGCCGCCAGATGGTAATACCAGGATTAAGGGGTGCACTCACCGGAGCCTCAGCCCTCCCAGCAGCGGAGCTGAGCTGGCGCCTGGGTTTTTTTATGGCACTCTGTGGGGGCGTGGTCCATGCCCAGACCCCGGGCTCTGGGAGCGAGGTGCCAGTTGCATCTGCACCCACTTTGGTCCAGGTGATACTGTCTGTCTCTGCATTATAGCTTCCGCTGGGTGAGGTTTAATGGGCTGCGGCTACTTTGAACCTTCAAAGGCCACTTTTAATTTGAACTGGGGATTATGGGCATGTCCGCACTGACTCACAGGTGTGTGTCACAGAGAACTGTTGGCTGTCGCGTTTGCAGTGGCTGATCCCCCAGAAGTAGGTCACCAGCCCTGCTCAGGGCTCCTGGGGAGGCATGAACTGGTGACCTTTCGGTTGGCAGCTGGGCAGGGCAACAGTGACCCTTCTCTGTTTCTAATTTGGCTGAGGTCAGAGAGGGTGAGGGGTGCACAGTGGATCTGCCAGTTAGGAGGTGGGGCGCCAGCCAGGGCTCCCTTCAGGCCAGGCCCTTTATCTTCATGATCCGGAATGGCTCCTGCAGGAATCCACCCCTGGGGAGCAGAGTGGGGCTCAGAGCTCTGGAACTTCCACACCCCACCTTCCTGCAGGGTGCCCAGTTTCCAGACTGTGATTTCCAAACAGCCTGTAACCAGTCCCCATGAAGCCTATTCTGGTACTGACTCCAGGGACAGGCCGTGGTTTCTAACGCCAAATGGGCACTGCTTGGCAGCACACGTCAAACCAGGCTTCTGTTATTACTCCACTGTGGTAGAGAGCTCTGGTGGCTGAGTGCTAAGAAGCTGCGTTCCGATCCCAAAGGCCTGAGGTTTGAATCCACCAGCTGCCCCACAGGAGCAACTGTGTCATGTCACTGGTTATTTAGTGCTTTTTAAAATTAAGAGCTCTGGTGGTGCAGTGGGTAAGGAGCTGTGCAGCTACCGGAAAGGTCAGTAGTTTGAGCCCACCACTCTGGGAGAAAGGGGAGGCCATCGGATTAGGTTTATCATCTTGGAAACCCAATAGAGGGTTGCTAGGAGTGAGAACTGAGTTGACCACAGTGGGCTTTTTAAAAAACTTTTATGTGTAGAGAGGTACTGTGCATATTCTAGCTGAGAGTAACAGAATCATATTTACTTGTATTATTTTCCCTTATGCAAGGACATTTGACTGTGTGAATCTTAATAAATTCTAGATAATACTCAGAAGAATGGGAATTCTAACCAAATGGAAATTCTAACACACTTAGTTGTATTCATGTGAAAACTGTACTTAAACTTGAACAGAACAAGGAGGTGCTACATGTTTGAAAGTCAGGAAGTTTGTGCCTTTTCTCCGTACCTGTTCAGTCTGTGTTCTGAACAGATCATCTGAGAAGCTGCATTAGATGAATAAAAATAAGGCATTAAAGATTGGAGGAAGATTTAACAAGCTGTGGTACAAAGATTACACATCTTTGCTTTCTAAAAGTGAAGAGGACTTGAAGCGCTTACTGTGATTCAGAAAGATTGCAGCTTTCAGTCTGTATTACGTCTTAACATAAAGGAAACAAAAAACACTCACAACTGAACCAGGAAGCAGTCTCACAGTAAATGGAGAAATGATTGAAGTTGTCAAGGAATTAATTGCTTGGATCCACAATCAACACTCGTGGAAGCGACTGTCAGGAAATCTAATGGTGTGTTGCATTGGGCAAATCTGCTGTCAAGAACCTCTTTACTGAGTTATTTTAAAAAATTCTGTTGGTAAGGACCTCTTCAAAGTGCTCAAGTCCATGGATGCTGGTTTCAAGACTAAGATGTGCTTATCCACACCATGGTATTTCCATTTGATTCAGATGTTTGTGAAAGTTAGACAGTGAATGCTGGAGACAGTAGAGGAATCGATGCCTTTGAATTGTAGTGTTGGCTAAAAATATACCAAACAATTTGTCTTGTGAGAAGTGCATCCACGGTGCTCCTGAGAGGGCAGGATGGTGAAGCTTAATCCCGCATATGCTGGGCCTGGCCATAGGAGGAATGGACCTCATGCTGGGGAAGTAGGATGTCCGGAAAGCAGTGGATCACCTTCATCGAGCTGCACAGGCGCATTGGCTGACACAACGGGCTTGTGCACATCAGAGATTGTGAGCATGCCACAGGATCAGGTGAGCTTTGGTCGGTTGTTCAAGGAGGCTGTGATACGTCACCTGCCACCTATCTTAACATGACAGCCTTTGACCCACCTTTCTTAGAAAGAACTGCAGCCCACTGGTCCTAAAATCAAAACAGAAAATCGCAAAACTGAAACCCCGCCTGGCTGTCGTTGAGCTGGAACCCTCTGAACTGACCCTCCGTCGGGCTTCCGAGGCTGTGAACCGCACGTTGGGTCTCTGAGGCCGTGAATCGCACAGATTGAGGTGCTCCTCTCTCTCTCAGAGCTGCTCATGGATTCAAACCACCAGAGAGATGTGGCCTTTGGGTTGGCAGTACGGTTGCCTGTGGACTATTTACAGCAGATGTGATTTGGAGACAGGTTTAAGGATGGAGCTCATTTGTAGTCTGGGATGCGTTGTGCATTGTTTTAAGTAAGAGGCTCACGGATGGACCAAGGTCCCCCTTTCCTGCTGCGTTGTTCTTAGCAGATTGGTTTTTAAGACTTGGTAATACATGTTGGCAGCCGTGGAGCTGGCCCTGGACACGTGCTGACTGTGCCCAGAGCACAACAGAGTGCCCCCTGGCCCTGGGCCATCCCCATGATTGGATCGTTGTAACCACAGGGCTTTTGCTGACTTTGGGGAGTATGTCGCCAGGCCTTTCTTCCTAGTCTGTTTTTAGTCTTGAAGAAACTGCCTCTGACAGATGGGTGGTGGCTGCTCCTGATTCACTGTCTTGGGAATTGAACCCTGCTCTCCTGTGTGGAAGGTGAGAACTCTGCCCCCGAACCGCTGCTGCCCCATGCAGTCAGCAGGTGCAGAAAAGTGCTCAGAGGATAAGTCAGCGCCGGGAGGAGTTCTCACAAGCTGAGCGACCTGTGTCAGATCAGGAAACAGAATCCCGCCATGTCGCGGGGACCCCTCGCCAGCGCCCCGCAGGAAAGCCCTGATGAGAATACAGCCCCTGGTGCCCACTTTTGTTCTTTATGTAATTGCACACCTGTGTGTCCTCCTCTCAGTGGCAGTTCCATCCTGCAGATGCGGCCGTGTAAGTGACCACATTTGTACGACCTTCATGCAGACTGGGCACTGGCCATGGGAAGTCCAGTTGTGACGAGGTCAGAGATTCTGTGCTCACAGTTGGATTGTGTGGTCCTCCTGGGCCTGGGCTTCCCAGAAAGACCCCTCCCCACGGAGGGCAGTGCTGTCCACAGTAATTCCTCGTGTCCGAGAGGTGGCAGGTCTGGGTGTTGACAGAAGTCTGTAGCCCAGCTGTGTGCTTGCTCCCTCCCTGGGCCAAGTTTACTTTTGCCTTCACTGGGTTAATGTGAAGGTCAGACAAGGTGACACTGGTAAATGAACTGGGCCACCTAGTTTACTCTGACTCGGCGTGACCTCACATGACTGAGTGACAATGCCCGGGAGGTTTCTTAGGCTAACCTCTGGTGACTCTGTAGACTAACACATTAGGCTCCTGAGAAAAAGGTTGGTGGTTCGAATCCACCAGTCACCGAGCAGGAGAAAATCCATTTCCATAAAGATTCACAGCCTGGGAACCTCCCCCTCCATGGGTCAGTGCTGTGAGTCACAACCAGCTCAGCCCGTGAGGCTCATGTCTCCCACGGAGTTCTTGGTGGGCTTGAACTGCTGACCAAACGAAAACCAAACCCATAGCAGTTGAACTGATTCCAGCTCATAAAGACCCCTCATCAGGTTTCCAAGGCTGTAAATCTTTACAGGAGGACATTGCCCATCTTTTTCCCACGAAGTGGTTGGTGAATTAGAACAGCTCACCTTTTGGTTGGCAACTCCACATAACAGCCCTTATTTCCGCAATGTTCCTGGCCCGTGAAAGGTGGTGTAGTGCCCACGTCTACCACAAGAGGGTGCCGAGACCACGTGTATCCCGCCTGCTTTTGCTGAAGGGTCTGCATTTTGTGACTTGGATGCTGTTTAACACAAGTCAGTGTGTGTGTCCCCGTGTGGTCAGCTGCCCTGGCTCAGGGCTGTGCAGTGGGCATGCTGGCACGTGTGTGATTGGTGGGTGGCACTGTCTTTGTCCAGCCACTGGCCCCCAGGCATGCATTGGGTTGTAAGTGGTAAGCGCAGCCCCTCCCCTCAGCTGTAATCGGTCATTTGGGATGCCACCGAGGAGGAGGACACAGGTCTGGGTCCCCCAGCCTTAGGCTGCATTTTGGCCGATGCCCTCAGAATGTGGAGATGACTCTGCAGCCCTTGAACTAGCCAATGGACTGGACGGAGGAAGGGATTGACCGGAAAGCCGAGTTTCAGTGTTGACCTTGTTTATCTGGCTGCTGTCTGTGAGGCAAATCACTGAGCTCTCTTAGCCTCGGCTTCCTCATCTGTAAAATGGGCGATGGCGGTGCCCTTGGCGCCTTCTCAGAACGAACACAGCTGTGGTCATCTGTGAGCACTCAAGAGGCTGTCTGAATCCTACTCAGCAGCATCTGGGCCGGGAGGCTGTGCCACCGAGAGCGGGGGTCGCTGTGGGAGTGGGTGAGACGTCACCTGAGAGCAGGTGCTGTGCTCGTGCGAGCAGGTGTGGAGCATGTGGACCAGTTCACTTGCTCATTCAGCCAGTATGAAGCACTGCCTTGGCCCCAGATTGCCTGGATGCTTGTAGCATCGAGCTCCCATTCGTAGGCACCACCTGTGTTCCAGTGATGACACCAGTGCTCACCTGGTCTCTGCTCACCTGGTCTCTGCTCACACCCAGACTCTCTGCTCACCTGGCCGTGTGCTCACACCTAGACTTCTCTGCTCACCTGACCATGTGCTCACCTGGCCATGTGCTCACTGGGTCCAGGCACTTGTAGCTCAGGAATCAGGCACTTCTCTTCAAGCTAGGCAGTTCAAGGTTGACTTTGATCAAATCTGTATCTCTCTAGATGAGGTTACTCATAGAACAGAGTTCAGGTCTTTTGTGCAAAGCGTACTCTGAGTCATACTCGACCCGACAACCTCTGCCAAATGAGACCAGTGCTGTTCTATCTGGAGGAACACTCTTCCACTTTGCATGTCACTCATTGTCGATGTGCTGTATGAGGTATCCTGGGTTGCTGTGATGCTGAACCTTGTGCCATGGGGATATCAATTACCATAATGTTTTCTGTTGTGGCCAGTGTTTGGTGGAGCTCCCAGCTGTAAAACAGGTTTGGAGGTATGAGTGGCATCCACTTCTAAACGACATGCGTCTGGAAACTCTGTGAGCTTGGAGAAATGATAGCTATGGAAAGGCATTGGGTCTTTTGTTCATAGAGTCACTAGAGTTGACCTCAATTCAACGGCAATCAGCAGCAACATTTCTCTTGGTACTGGTTAAGCCAGCTTCCTGTTTTTTGTTATCTGAGTATTGTTCACTTTTTGTTGTTGTTGTTTTCCTGAGTGCTGTCATTATGGGGGAAGCATAGGGCACATCCCACCTCATGCCCACACACGTAGGTAAATGTCTGATCAGCCTCAATGGGAAATATTTGCCCGGACGTTCTCAGTTGTCCACGAGGGGTTGTGTGTGTATGTGTAGTGCAGCGGAGAGGTAGTTTGTGAATGGTGGTAGTGGTGTGTGTCTGTAGTCGAGGCTGGGGGGTGTGAAGGAGCAGTAGTGGTGAGGTGTGTGTATGGTCAGAGTGGAGGTGGTGTGTATATAAATATGTGTACAGAGGGACAGAGTGGTAGTATGGAGTGGGGTGTGAGTGGAGTGGGG